TCCAATTGTTCACTAGACAGTAACACCTAACTTGAAAATATTACAATGGAAACTTAGATAGCGGGATATTATTTCGATAGCGATGTCGAGTAAATTGTATAAATTTCTTGCAAACTCTCAAGAAACAATTGCACCTAATTATTACAATTACGTTAAAGATACTGCTAATTGTCGCAGAGGTGCAATCAACTTCAATTTTCATTTCACGTCGAAGCTTTCTCATTCTGCACATTTTTTCGATAAAAGCACAGGGAATAGCAAAGACAATTATGAAACATTTTCAAAGAATATAATGGTTATGTGCTGAAATCAAGGAGCAAAGCACAAAAATTGTATTTTAAAAAAGGAGTTTTTTGTAACACTTCAGCGCAACTTCCAGGATTCATGGAGTTTTAATGTTTTTTGCGCTATAAAGGAAGGCCGAATTTAATGTTCATATCTTTACGAAGATAATTTGAATAGCAATAGATATTCGTATAAAATTAGGAATGTGGTTGGTGAATCCATAAGGCATGTTTCTGAACAATACCGTTTCAAGTTATCGTATCAGATGGATAGAGCCCCTGCACATAGTACTGATACCGTTGCTGGGTTGTTGAATGGGATGTTCGAAGATCAGTGGCTTTGCTACAATGGATCATTTAAATTTCCTCCTTGCTCTCCAGACCTAACACCACTGGACTTCTTCATCTGGGGATATATCAAAGAAAATGTTTATGCCGATCCTGAGAGTGATAAAGAAAACATGGAACGAAGGGTTCTGGGAGCTTTCAATAATTTGATTCCTGACTCCATACAGAAACCTACAAATAGTGGTATGCAAAAAAGAATATTTTCTTATTTAGAACAAAACGGCAATGTCTTTGAACGTCCGTTGAAATGAACCACAATATTATTTGAATTCGAAGAAATTGAGTTAAATTCTAAAATTAAAGTAGAATCTAACCTCAAAAATTTTAAACAAAATAAAATTACTGTATTCGATATCAATAAATAAAGATATAATTCATCTCTCTGATAGTATTTTATTTCAATCCATCCATTTTCATGTTGAGGTACCTTTTACCAACGACAGAGTTGATATTATTTCATTTGTTTTCAAATCTTTCTTGGTTTGATATTGCTTGGAATGATTTACATTTCAAATATTTCCCAAAATCTGATATATCTTGCCAGAGGTGTATTTTAGGTATGGGACATTTTTCATGCATTTGATATATTTTTTTTCGTAGTATCCAAAAATAATAGAATAGTGTATGGTTTCTATTTGAAAAAATCGTGTTTCATCAGTTTTCTCGGTGTTATGTTTTAGGTGGAAATTTCGACTATCCTGTAAATTATTTTCGAAAATTCGATGTTCATGACTTAATGCGTAAGGTGTGATTCTGTGAATTTTCACATTTTCAACTGTTACTGTCTATGAGTTATGATTTTTTCGGGGTGGTACTGTAACTGTCACATTTTTAAAAAAAAAATTAATATCTCGAAAACTAACATATTTGGGTAAAGGCATTGTTTCACAAAGTGGGCCTAAAATCTACTGAAAAATTCAAAAATGTAATGAAACACAGGATGTTTTATTTAAAATGAGGAAGTTCACCTCAACTCAACTCGGTATAACGGAAAGAGACCGGAAGTGGAAATTTCTTCAGTTGAGAAGGTCATTTTGCAAAACCTACTACCACAAAAGTTCAAGTTTTTATTTTGAATCGTTCTCCATATATTCCTAACGAACGGTCGTCGTAAAAGACCCTGTATAATAATAATAATTGATTTGAATTATAATGAATTTAACACCTATGCAGTGACTAAGGATTTCAAATATTCGAAATAAATTTATTTATTAGGACTTGGTAATGGAATTACCATTAATAACCAATATCAACATTAGAAAACGAATTTAACAATCGAGAATTCTTCAATTCTATTCGGACATTTAGCTAATGCGATTTGAATTCACTTTCTTACATTCTCACAGCTCCAACTTGACCAACTACCATCTTCGTTTTCTTTGGAATGAGTGTGTATATTCGCAAATGGATAAGTTCGTTCAAAATTTAACAACTTCCATGCTTTTAAAACTGATACTGAACAAACAACTATTGTATTCCTCTATTTCAATATAATGTCACTTCTGTCAAGAGTATTGAAAGAAGATGTTTACAAAGAATTCAATTTTCGAGGAAGTTTTATTATGAACGATAGATATGGATACAATTAAATTCTGTTACGAATGTATTATATAGGTACATTAATTACATTATTATTATCAATTATTAACATTATTATGACAATTACAATTAGAACAACTGCTGATATTGATACTTTGCGATGTTGAAGAGCCTTGTATTATATTTGAACTATCTGCGCTGACAATTTCATGGGCATTTACATTTAATTCTTGAAGTGAACAGGACGATGCTGTAACGCTGGAGCATTATTGCTGGATATTCTTTCAGCCAATAGCCAATAGTTTATGATTTTTATGATTTGCGCTGAGCCGATTTTTTTTGGTAACAATTCAATTGAAGATTTTTTGTAGCCTCTAATATCGGCCGAAACACACAATTCCTCACTATTGTTCGTCATTATGCAAGACATTAAACACCAGCAGGAACTTTGATTGTGACTTTAAATAAAACTCATGAGTTGTAAACAATACTGTTTGTTGTTAACCGGGTGATTCGGCGTCACCAGACACGGCCACTTCACAGCAAATGCGATAACATGATAATAGTGAACGGACAAGAGATGTCAAAATGTGCTTTTATAGAAATATTGAATTCATCTATTTTAATATGAAAACAGGACAGTTGTACAAAAAACTTTGTACCTATGATATTTGTGTTCAATGTAAGTTTTATTTTGTTCGTTTCGCAAACTTTTTCACAAAATAAAACCTTACTTTCAACACTCATATAATAAGTAGCTATCAATAGTCATCTAGAGTATTCATCTTCTATTTTATAGATTTCATATTTTCCTGTTTGCCGTTTCTATTTATAAACGCTTTTTTGTACACCCGTACTCTAACAATACACTTATATGACCATAATGCTTTATTTGTCAACATAATACCATATTACCTACCTATATTATCAAAATGTCTGAAAACAGCGATATAGAAGGAATACCATTGACTCCAATATTTTTAAAAGATCAGATTAATTACAGTTGTTATATTCAATATAAATATAATTAGAATCTTTATAGTTTTCATATATCCATGATAATACCATTAAGTTTGTGTTTTTTTTTAAAAAACACAAACTTAATTACTGTAAATATGTTCAATACAAATATAATATTTATAGTTTTTCATTATTTATCGGGTTTAGAAAAAATAGCGTATGCAACTCTCATCATTACATGATCGTTGCATAATATACTATTATTGAATACTTATGATGCACTGTTTGGAATCTTTCGTGTAGTAATGGATATTACTGGGATTTTTCCCAACACCAAATCGTTATTTTCAACACCTCGACACGTGTTTCGATCACCAAGTGATCATCTTCAAGAGGAAGATTAAACTGGAAACTTCCCTAAGCCAACGCTATTTATGCTATACAGGTATACCATACCTGTATATCATAAATAGCGTATGGTATCCCTGAATGGTATACCATACAGGTATACCATTCAGGGATACCATACAGGTAAACCATACAGGAATACCACACATACAGGTATGCTGTTGTGTTTCATTCTGTGATTTTTACATCATAACCGCTGCCTACAGTCGGGTAGGTATTGTCCTAAAATTCAACAGGTACAAAACGTGTGGCAATTTACCTCTGGTGGAATATACTCATATAACGCACACTTCAAACATGAGAGCTACATGATTCTCCTTCATGATTGTAGTATGAGATGATGAGGTAGATGATGATTTTTGGATCACTAGGTAAAATACAGCGTTTTGCTACATTCCATTCAGAGGTATCAGAGCTAAAATATGTAATGATCTACAATCAAAATGAAGATGAATGCTGTGTTTATTTCGAAAAAAAAAACTCTGGAGGAGAATCAATTATTAAAAACTCTTCCACTTTAGTTTTTATTTCAATTCATTTCTCTTTGTATACACACAAATTAATATATATTATTTTTCCTATTCAACGAACTATCAGTGAACAAAATAGTCAATTCCATTCAATTATGTTTTCACAATAGTTTGGAAGTCATTGTTGTTATCATTACAGAGATTATCTGATTCCTAATAACCTACAAGATTTACTATATTCTGTATGGTGTTTTCAAAATTTTGGTGTACTGTAAATGATGATGTGAAGGAAATGAAATAGGAATTCAAATAAAATCTTTCAATAGGTCAAATACTGTGGTAATAAAACCACCTTGGAGCTGTAAATATTGTGATGTGTATGGTGTTTTCAAAATTTTGGTGTACTGTAAATGATGATGTGAAGGAAATGAAATAGAAACTGAAATAAAATCTTCCAATAGGTCAAATACTGTGGTAATAAAACAACCTTGGAGCTGTAAATATTGTGATCCTTTAAATATTTTCATAAAATTAGTAGGATGAGAAAATATTTTGAATAACTGTTCGTTTCAACTATTAGTCCACGTTTCAACAAATTTATTTATGAGTGTAAAGCAAATGAACATAAACAAATCCAAATTACGGTATGTTTCACGTTATTGAAGTGACGCTTTTGGGATACATACACTTCAACAATTATTTAATTCTCATAAATCTCTTGAAAACTCTTGAGAATTGTTTCCACAACCCCCAGATTGTGGAAATAATTTCGAACAAAAAAAAAGTTCAATAGTATTATCTTTAAATTCCTTTACATTGATTCCAAAACATGTTCCAATTTCTAAACCGCATTAGAAAAAATATTTTTCTGTGTGAACTATCTGCAAGAAAACATTGATTCCTGGAGGTGTAATTAAGTTGAAATATTCAAAAATTTTGACGAATCATCATGCAAAACAAACTGTTCGTAATCAGCAATTTCTCTCATTACCTTGTTCCAAGATTTCACTTTCTGACCGATTTTTGTCCGGCACGAGGTACGAGATGGAATTGGTCGGTGTTTCCGTTACCAATTCCATGGTCAACACTGAAAGTTGTATTGGAGCGTCGAGACGTCTTGCCGAAATTGGCGCTACGCGCCGCACGCAGCCGCCGACGTCACGGCGACCTAGCCAGCCATTGGTCCAGGTTCAATATCGCTAGGTTAAGGGCAGCGGGAACCAGATCCAGCGGTCCGGGATGATACCGGAACAAGTTGCATTCTGATGTTGCGAATACGTTGGACCGTTGTTGGTCTTTCCTAAGGGGGCGCCCATGAATTACGTGAGGTGTTTAAGGGAGGGAGGGGGTCGAGTCAAATCTCATCTTATCTTACGTTGGAGAGAGGGGGGAGTCCCGGCGAATATCATGCAATTTTTTTTCTGATTGAAACAAAAAAAAATTATACTATTTTGGTCCATTTAATCCAGACTGTACATGCTTAAGATTTAATCTCAAGCGTAATCGTAATACGATTAAGATCATTTACTGATTCGTTCGAAAGAAAATAATTTCATTCATACTTCTCTCAACAGTCTCTCTTGAGACCGCGCATGATTCTCAATGGACTGAATCTAATCACTAATCACAGTAGTTACGATTTAAGTATTCTATTGTTAAATTTTTATTACACTTATAATTAAACTCTCAGCAATATTGATTATTAATTTTAACTTGTCGTAAATAAAAGCACGAAGCATTTTTTTTTCTTTTCACAATAACAATCCAACGTGTTTACGTAAGAAACACACATTTTGAAAAATCTCACGTGAGATTGGGGGATGGGGAACGGGGTTGAGTAAAATCTCACGACATCTCACCAGGGGGGGAAGGAAAGGACAGAAAATTAAAAAAAATACCTCACGTAATTTATGAACGCCCCCTAAGAATTTTTCAACTATCGTGTCTCAGAGAAAATATGAAAAATCATAAAAGAAAGAAGTTGACAACACAAATATCCATGCTCTATGTTGGGTATTCTCTTTTCTCAACTTCCAATCGTTCAGTCGATTATCTTCATCAGTTAACAATTGTTTGAATCAAAATTTATTTCTTCAATCCATCTAGATCACCATTGGGCAATTTTCAGGAAGAAAATATATTTTTCAGGTAGCGTGTAAAGGCGCCAGTAGCGAAAAATAACAATCCTGAGTAAATCTCGGACTTTCGCTCTATAAGCATGCTTTCTACCATCCCGATTTTGTATGAAGTACAGTTCTACCTCAGCTGTATTGATCAAAATATGTTTTTTCGTTAACCAGCTGTCGCAACCCTACGAACGACGACGCTCAGAAGTCGAAAATTGTGCGAGCTAAGGAGTAACGAGGTCTTACCTTTCAACGTGCGATTCCTAACACTCCATATGACTGACGATAATGAAATTTCCGTTTGTTATTACAAGATTTCAGCTTGACTCTTTGGATTGTTCTTTACTTTGAAAACATTAAACAATTTGGCTTTGGACTCTCCCATTATTGAACAAAAACTGCGAAAATAGAGGTTTATTTCAGCTACTAGAAAAAAACCCTTGAACAGACAACGTGTTAGCCACGACAGGAGTAAAGGTTATCACATTGCCGACTCTACAGCCAAAGAAGTGGCTGGACTCAGAAACTTAGGACCCAGTGGCACCTACGGCCTGATGACTTTGACAATTGCGGAAATAGCTAAATGTTACACCCATGCTCAATCCCTAAAGAGATGGGATGGAATCAAAGGATGCAATCTTGTCAGGATCACCTTGGGCGACCCTGGGAAGCTGGCACCGAAGAAATATCTGGCAATGACCAAGAAAAATTTACGCTTAACAGTAGGATTTCTGACTGGTCACTGTCAACTAAGGAAACACCTCCATAATATGGGGCTAGTAGACACAACTCTATGCAGGATGTGTGAATAGGAAGATGATACCATCAGGCATGTCCTATGCGAGTGCCCGGAGTTATCGTCAATAAGAGAGTGTGTGTTCAGTGAGTCTTGACCTACACCTGCCGATATAAAGAAGATGTCTTCCAGTGACCTATCCATCTTCCTGGAAAGGACAGGATGGACAATGAGCTAGGAGAACAACTCCTCGGAAGGATATACAATGGGTCACATGTAGCCTAAGTGCTGTGGGCTTACACTCACCCTCCCCACTCTACAGATACAGAGATACAGAAAACCCTCTCGAAATTATTATTTTCACTTGTGTTGAATTGTAGAAAAGAAAAAATGCCATTCAGAACAATTACCTCTACCTGAACGGTGAGTTACTCAAAAATTACGTTTTCTCATTCAGTTTGTACTCGAACATATATCATTATTAGAAACGCTACACAATGCTATCCTAAATTGTGAACTTCAAAGGTTAGGGACAAGACACTTGTCTTCTAACAGTAATAGCACCATTTCAGATAACATTACGAGATGAAACACTACGATTTTGTGTTATCGGAAGAGAACATATCAAGATGTCTGGAAACCAGAGCCCAAACACAACCTATTCATCATTCAACAGCAGGCAGGGTTGTTTCGACCCGCTATAGATCTCATTAGTGGTGCTAGGCTGAACCACCAATGCGTTTCTTTACTCAAATATCCTTTGCACACAAGCCTGAGTGGGTGAGGGAGAGTATATCTCCCCTTACGATACGCCATCTAAGGAATCGACAGAAAACCAAATCCTCGAATATCGAAGATGAACAGTTGAATCAAAAAGGAGATATTTTTGGGAGAAATTATGTTCCATCAAACGAAAAATATATGAAACTTCCAAAGGGAGGATGAAAGGATAACTAAAATTTGCAGTAGACACAGCGTTTTTGTCAGATGAAAACTGGGGGAAAAAACCATTTCATAATAACTAGTTTACCACATTGAATCGAACGAAAAAATAAAGTCCTTTCGAAGCAACTATTTACTTATCTCCTGATGATGCTAACAAATTTAGCTGTCGAAAGACAGTGCTTCAGCTTTGGCGAGAAAAAATAATTTTCATTGGACTGTGAACTGTCCTGAAGGGATTCACCTTCAACATTCCGATTGTTGTTGTTGATGTTTACGAATGGTTACTTGAAATCAAATGGAATCCTATTAAATCTCATAAAAATTGAAAATCAAATGGGGGAGGACGCTCCAGCTTTCAGTAAGAAACACTTACGTATGATCTTGTCTGTTGGAGAGTTTAGGTGCCTTGATAATGGAAAAGTAGTGTTGGAACTAGTTGAACTACGAAGTGATGGATATCCATTTTTCGTAAGCACATGCTTGCTGGTGATCATTAAATGATTCTTAAAAGTGTATAATTAATTTCGCCCTTAAGTAAAAAATATTAGTGGAATGAAAACAATAACCTGTGTTGGAATAGGGTGGTTGGCAAAAGTTTTGTACGGCTGTTATGAATTCAGTTTCTAATTACTAACCACGACTGGAATCTCTCAAACCAAACGTCGTCCGAAAAAAGTGGAACAGAAAAACAGAGCATGACGAAATGAAAGACTGTTTTGATATTGCAAACTGAATTCATAAAAACCGTACAGAAATTCATCACCTCTATATAAAAAATGAGGTGAATGTCCAAATTTCGAGTGTTTTGCGTGTTGATCGATTTTCTGCTATCGAAAAAAATGTATCGAATGATCTGTATCAAATTTTGTTTGAAAAATGTGCCGAAATATTGACAGTGACATAAGGTGATTGTACTCTGAGTCAAAACAATGTTTACAAGGGTTACAAGTTTTTCACAGAAGGTCGAGAAGATATCAATGACGATGCTCGCCCTGGACGCCTTAGCAAATCAACAACCAGTGAAAATGTCAAGTCACTACTAAGAACATTTTTGAGGATGTCAGCATATCGGTTGGCTAGGTTAGGTTAGGTTAGGTTAGGTTAGGTCTGAAGTGAGTGGGTTTATTCGACCATCCACCGTAACTCGCAAGGGTTTACTGTGGCTCACACCTATTCCCACTCGGCCAAATAAACCCAGCTTCTCAACGAAGCCGATCAGTTTGTTTGGTGAGTGGTCTTTCAGATCAGATGGTAAAAGTACGGCTCTGCCGAACTCTAAGAACCTGATTCGGTCCCCGGCGGGGCAGGCACAAAGTATATGCTCTGCTGTTACATCATTTTCGAAACAAAGGCGACACACACTGTATTCCGACAGTCCAAGTATCTGCATACGATGATTCAAGTTACAGTGGCATGTAAGAAGGCCTGTGAGACATCGTAGTTTATTTCTTCTGTAGTCTAACAACTGTTTGGTGTCAAGCTCCGAAGGTTGAATAAACGCCTTGGACCAATCCTGGAAGTTTCTGCCATAAATCTTTTCGCCATCCAGGTGTACAATGTTTGTTTCGCAAAGCCTAAAGTAATGCCAATGACAGGTTCTGGTCCGATGAAGCAGCACCCTTCTTTGCAAGGGAGTCAGCAGCCTCATTGCCTTCCAGGCCAGTATGGCCAGGAATCCAGACCAGAGATAATCTGTTAAGTCTTCCTATCGAGGAGAGTCGTTTTTGACAATTTTGCTACCAATTTAGACGTTGTTCGGTAGGAGCAAAGAGCTACCAACGCCGCTTGACTGTCTGAGAATATTTTTATTGACTTCATCGGTTGGCTAACGTCATGCATTTTTTTTCTTTGATTTTGGGCATAAAGCGTATAGCAGCGAAGTTCGTTTCAAAATTGCTGGGTTTCGACTAAAAAAAACGTCACACGGGTATTGCTCAGGAATTGTTGGATGACGTCAGCGGCGATCCAGATTTGCCTGAAATGACCATTACTGGTGACGAATCACGGGTATATGGTCATACCATGGAAACCAAAATTCAATCGTCCTAATGTAAGAGCGCAGTAGAGCCGAAATAAAAAAAGCACGCCAAGGTTTTGCTCAATGTTTTCTTAGATTACCTTGGCGTAGAGCATCATATTTTTTTGCCACATGGTCGTATGGTCAATGAGGAGTTATGCGCCGCTTGCGAAAACCAATATGAAGAAATCGTCCGCTATTGTGGAAAAACGAATCATGACTTCTTCATCATGATAATGCGCCAGCTG